TGTTTTGTGATTTTTATTGCCTCAAGAGTAAAGTGAGGGTTATTGAAGGTTCTCAGTTTCCCACATAGAGGAGCACTGTTCCTAAGCCCAATAGGGATTTACGCATAAGTAGAAGCTGCTTGTGTGCGCTGTTGTGTAAAGAAAGGGCGGAGCTTGCTCTGAGCAACGTGAGCTACCAGTGGTTTGATCACAGTTGTAGGTTGATGTCGGCCACTTTATTCTAGCTCCTACTATAGGCATTTTGTTCTTGGAAAATCCTGTGCTTATGGTGGAATCCTATAATCACAGTGTAGTAACTATGACAGAAATTTGACCGATGTGCATAAAATCTTATTAGTGGTAGTATTAACATTTGGTTTTAGTTATCGAATTCAGGGAGAACTGTTCAGTTTGACTGACAAATGATCCCGAATGTATCTATGTATATGTATGTATACATATTTGTATGTCTTTATATAGCGACTATATATAGCCCTTATGTGGCGCGACAAGCTTCGAGCGCCTGCCGACTCACCTGCACGAAACCAAACCCAAGCTATTGTTAATTCCGCTTATTTTACACAAGACATCACCCAAGGGCAATTGAATGCCGTATTTTAGCTATACATGAGTCGACCGCCTTCAGGCGAGGAAACCCTGTTTCCTGCATCCAGATTCACTTGATTTAGTGCGGTCTCGAACAGAGTGACAACCTAACCGTAGCCATGTGCCACTTGCTCAGAACAATCTCGTTACTTAATTCTTAGCCCGTCTTCTTCTTAGCTCGTCTAAAATGGACTTTTTGTTCACCTTGAGTACATCGTCATATTGACCGGAGGAAGAAATAAAGGTCTTCGTTTACTGACACGCATCGTGTGATGCTTTCTTTGGAACCATAGTTGCTGATCTAAACACATTTCTGCATCTCCACCTTGTTTTGTTAACGCTCCGCGTTATGAATCCAATCTCCACCTGTTTATTGAAGTCGCTGAAAGTAGACCATGAATATAAGATTTATGTGGCTAGATGATGGAAACCATTAAGTCCCCGTGTAGCGTCGCCCACATCATAATTAGGGCGTTGAAGCGGCCTGTCAGTAATCACGTGGGTTTTGTGCAAGCACCAAGAAACTATGCAGGTCATTTAATGCGGGCAATAACCAAACGTAGTTCCTACTAAATGAATCTAGCTTCCGTCACCCGTATGATCAAGTTTACATACTGGACAGAATTTGGAGATCGACTTGAGTTTTTGCTCACCTGGGTCGATCTACCCCACTAAATCCATCTGGACAGATCAGTGCCTGACTGTTAAGGTTTCTCTTCAAGTGATTGCTGCCTTTGGTCAGAGGATCATCCAACCTGGCCCACCTGGTGTGTGTTCGTGCCATTCTCCCTATCTGGGCAGAGGGGGCTGTTAAAAAGCAGTCTTGGCTCCTCTGCATTTACCAGTCTCTTAGCGGAATTTCCAGAAACTGGAGATTATTCCAAGCTGGCATTTATGGGCAACGTCCGCATAAAATCAGAAAGGAAAGAAACACAATGTCCACCCTAATAAACCATATGAAGAGAACAAAGGAAGATATAAACTCAGTATGCGTTGTTCTTACTGCCCTGTCAAAATATTCGTTTTGTCGTGTACATAAAACTTTCGGTTCAAATTTGAACAGACCGCTTTATGGCAGTGCTGATATGGAGGGTACACGTTTATATCCTGGCTGATTTACTGCAAAGATAGACTGGGTGGTATTAATTCAAGTGCATTTTAATGCAAGAAGTACACTGAGATCGTCTTGTTTTCATCCCACATTATCATTTCGGTTTATTTATGGTAATTACCCTAATGGTTATCCTAATTGGCCTGGATACCGCAGAAATGAATCTAAGTCATCTGGACTTTTCGAATTATATTAATTGCCTGGTGTACGTATGCAACTCACAACGTGCTGTTTGTCGTAATTCTATTTGATGTTGATGTAACGTATACTTCAGTAGCGTTTATCTGATGTGAAGCCAGCGGATTTAGTCAAGGTGCCGTTTCATATAAGCACATGTATTCGTGTAGACGACTGATTAATGAACAAAGAGTTATTATTAAACGCTTGTTAGGCAGCATCTACCTAAAAGCTCTAACAATACACAAAGCAAAATAGTCTTTCGCCCACTTTACCCAACACTGCTGAGAAGGGTGTAACGTCCCCACAAGTTACGGGCGTCTACGTGTCGGGCAACCGAATGAGAATTTCAATGTTTTTCAAACCGAACCTACAGAGCAAACAATAGCAACTGCTCTGACCGTCGGTTTGTTCGTTGACCTCAGCAACAGGAAATCAAACGTTTCATCACCACTCGATGTAATACCATCAATGCTTTATTAGGGAACGGAAAGAAGCGCAGTAATGGGCCGGTGGTTATACTTGTCTCGATAATGCAGCGAACTGTGTTTTCAGGTCCGTTCCGGGGTCTAGTTTGCTATTCTGCTTCGTATGTCATTTGGGTACTTAGCTGCAGTTACGGTGATATCTATACAAACAAAACGGGTCGAAATCTTCCTCGAAAGACCTCGGAATACGTATGTAAAACAGAATGGCTCCTGTGGTAGCTCATTCAGCGGAGCAGGTGGCCGACAATCGAAAGGTTATGGGTTCGAATCTAGTCCGAGCACTCTGTCTTGCCAATATATTGAAGTATTGGTAGCTCGGTTGCATTAACTGGTTGTAATTCAGGTGGCTGCTGCTGCGTTTGGAAATTTGCTTACACGCTTCTCGTCACTAATCGGGGCGAATCGTCTACAAGCAAACTGCAGAGCTTGTTTAACAGATCAACAGCTATAGGCCTACAAACAGCTTCCTTTCCTGTTTTTGTTGCATATAATAGAGTCCATAGTCAAGCTGTTGGAATACATTGCAGATCAGTCGCTACAAATGACAATGCAACGAGTCAAAGTTGGGTTTTTGAGTGTACACCGTGCTCCTCGGACAGACCACCCGGTTAGCCCTGTTTTTGCAATTACTGCACAGTCACGCGATGGAAACCAAAAACACTTGCTAGCTTCAAGACACGGCCGATAACATTCACATCCTATGCACGAAAACTAGCACCACCAGCAGCCCGACAATTATGACGCTATTTTTAGAACGCTATGTCAGCCGATATTTACTCATTGTTTTCACGTCTTTTATCCGTTGGTGTCTAGTGTTTTACGCCTGCAACCAGGAAAACTAAGGTATTTCTGTCTCGTAATATTTCGTCCGCGCCCAACTACCAAGGGAGAAACTAGCTTATCTCCACCGTTATCATCCGTAAGTGATCACGTGAAACTATAAATTGGCTGACATCATCATCTTTTCAATTAGCGTATGATAGAGTCAAGAGTCCGTAATGAAATTAGCGAACGATGATCTCACTACGTGTGGTAGGCCATCAATCTGCTGTCAAACGACTATATGCACTTACTCAGGTTCTCATGAATAGGCTGACTTCCCTCAAAAGCTTGACTGGCGTCTAGTGTGCAGAACTGACCGCATTTTCTCATATCATCAATCAACCGAGCTAGACGCTAGGGCAGGTAGAACACCATTTCAGAACTTCACATAGGTTCCAGGTGAGTCTGCCATCGAAACCAAATTGGCATGCAGATGAGTGTAAAAATTGAATCTATGCAGATTGTTTCCTTTCTCAGGGCCAGGTATGCGTGTAAAAATGTCTTTTCAGCTAACCAGTCAGAAGGGGAACTTTATTTATCCGAAAATTTTGATTAGTAATAAAGTACACGCAGTGGTTAACCATAGTGGTTTTGTATAAAACCTCGAAGTAAAGTTTTTCGAAGCCTGATGCGTTATTGCTGAAATTCTGTTGGTAGCAGCTGGCACGTTTCCTGTATTTGAAACTTTACTGTCAGATACCTGGGACATAAAAACTTGCTTAGGCACACATCCATCATATGAAGATTTGGTCAGTTTCCCGCGGAAAAGCGAAATGGCTACTAATCAATAAATCTAAAATGCATAAATGTACAGAAGTGTAAAAATTGTTTGCAAAGTTGTGCTGTTTTCAGTTGGCTCTACTCACTTTTGAAATTTTGCAAAGTATATCAATTCGGCAAACCGAAAGGTAAACATTTGCCAAATTACTGATAGCAGTGTATCTTTCCGGATCATTTATTGGTAGAGAAACATCAACGATCAAACTTGCTACGCATATGCGACCGGCATTTTACACACTAGCTAAGAATATATGTTCCTCTTGTCCGTCCGTACAACATAGGTGTCCTTGGTCAGTCCTGAATCAACACATCTATATTTCATTTGATACCAGAATTAGCCAATTTTCGAGCACAGGTGCACCTTGCACAATAGTTGTTTCCAGTTTATGAATAACAACAGTTTGATTTAGACACGGATAACCATAAGACGAAGTACACTTAGGACTCAAACCCGGTAACAGCGGCTGGTCCCAAACGGTTACTATGGGAAGCGAGGCTTCCAGCCTGGCTTTACATGGTGGATTCGACGTTGCGCCAGTACTATGTAAAGCTTAGATTGCCAAATTTCCCAATTTCCCATAACACTGTGTGAACGCTTGAGCCACTAGAAAATGGGACTTTTTCTCGTTGGGCTTGTGGGACCAATCAGAAACGACAAATTAGGGAAGTGCTCGCTTTTGACGAGCTCGTTTTTAAGTGTCTTTTATCGTTGTAGTGTTGTACATTAAAGTAATACTATACCATTTGTTAGAGACTACGAGTCTCCCAGCAAATTCGCATTACTATAATCCCAGAAACCAAGAAAATAATTTATAGATAAAATGCTCTAGAAGCAAACAAAATAGGCTCACACTGCGGTCTATGATATCCGTGCAGTGAATTCTGCACATTCAGGCATGTAATAGTGTTGTTGTAATGCTAGACAGTGTGTTCGACCAGTGTTCTACATGTGCAATATTTTGAAGTTACCATATATGAATGACATACTGCCTTGACCGTATGTTATATCAACAGCAAATATTTTCCCTCAAATTCAGATCAGAATCTCGGCTATGGTTTCGTAAACTACATCCATTCAAAGGACGCTGAGCGAGCTATCGCAACACTGAACGGATTTCAGCTACAGAACAAAACCATCAAAGTAAGTTTCCCGAATCTTACTGCACATACATATTTGTATGCAATTTCGTGTACCTCTGCAGTTTTTGACAAATCTATCGACCCTATCGATCTGTATTTTCACGCTGGCCTAGACAGCATCTGGGTTTAAGTAATACGACCAAGTCAAGTTGTGCAAGTGCTATTTCGAAAACGAAGCACGAAGCTAAATGTCGAAATTGGGAAAAAAACTTCTTTCATTCACACCTGGAACAAATGCACACCGGCAGCATTATTTGCCGGCGAAATTAAGTTCTTTGTCAAAAACATATCTGAACATTCTACTGAGCGCATCAATAGCCCGTATCAGTTAGAGTAGATTCAGAATGTTCTGTTATTTACGGTCCATATATGTTGTTTCCGACAAGTGAAAATCGAAACACTGTCTACTATCCATTGTATCAAGTTTACGAGATTCAGGACATGTTGTGTGCTATTGAAGCATGACAGTAGCAAATTACGATAATCAGGAAGTGTTCACAGGCATGTACGCAAAAGGATATGTTCATATGTCACGGCAAGTTCCGCTGTGCTGTAAAATGTTCTCCACTCTGTGCGTTGATTACGATGAGTGAATCAGTCTACTTTTTCAATGGTCATAGAACAACAATGTTAAATGGATTATTTCCTACAAAACAATGCTCTTCTAATAGAGATAGCTTGAGACGTGCTAACTCATTACAATAGATAAAACGTTCGCATGAGGGACACCTCATATACTCCAAATCGGAGGGAATGTTTACAAGAAAAGCTTGCCAGATGAGTAACCTATTTTGGCGCATTGTCAGCATTTGGCTGGTTATCTTAATAGCCATTTGGAATTGTTTTTTCGGTAGATAATTGCTATGTGGCAACCGGCAGGTTGTTCCACTGCTTGTATGGCAGCTCCATTGCATGGAATGAAACCGATTATCAGAAGAAGGCAGTTGAGATTAAAAGAGTTAATAAAACATGTCGAAAGAGAAATCCAGAGACTTTCAACGGAGTGACTCTTGGGTGAGCAAGTTTTATGTTATGACATAATTTTTCGGTGATGCCAGAGTCGTTCGATGTGTGTGGGATTATCCGGTCTCCTCAATGCTTTCGTAGTTGACACTTGTTACATAGCTGTCGCTGCAGTGTGTGAGAGGGATATAAAAGAGAGCTGGTTAGAGAAGAGTTAGCAAATACCACAACTGCCATGTTCCACTGAGGACTGAAATGATTGTAGCGCACTACATTGCACAGCAAGCTGTGTGCGTGAAAGTTGAACGAATGTGTATGTTGCGTCTCATCGGTGAATGAGAGTACGTACCCGTTCTGTACATAGGCTGTATCAGCTTTCATTAGAAAAACACGAGGTGTTCACTTGGCAGGCAGATGTAGGATCGAATGCGGCGGTTCCACTAACACGATAGCGCTTTCCGCTTGATCCATCAAGGTATTTTATCTAAGAAGTCATATAGTCGTTGCTCATTTCGATAAAATGATACTCAACCGAAATTCAGGGATCACAGTATCGCCTCCATTGTCAGGAGGGTCGTGAGGGAAAATATCCTATTAAAAACACTTTAGAAAATTTCGAATGAAATCTAAAAATCTGAAGTATTGATAAACCAATGCATGTGCACGGTAGTCTTTAGAGCTCTCTTGTTGGTTCAATGATATAATGTTTTAGACTGATGAATCCAATCAATTTCTCAGGTCAATTCAACTCATCCACCATCAGAGTATCCCCTCACAATGTCACGAGTCCATTAAATGGTGGGCTTTGCAGTATGTGCGTTATCACCCTGGAGGCGATAGTCCACAAAACGTCGTTTCCTTCTTCAGATCCTTGAAAAAGTGGTGAGGTAGCAGAAAGCTGGTGAAAAATTGTGGGAAATTATGTTTCCATGTTGGCCACATCTCCCAGGCTAGTTCTTATTCCCATAGCAACCAATGCCAGAAAAGCCATCCCGGATATCCTTGCTCGCGTGCAAACGTGTTCCTATCTCAGGCATTTCTCGTGGGTGATTTTTTTCACGAAAAAGAACTGATTTGGTTCTCACATAGGTAATCAACTCAGTTCTACCTATCAGAATTATTCAAATAATTGGGGATGTTTGATCTAGATGTGTTTTCCTCTGACTATTATGCACATTTATTTATACGCTTTATTGAGTTTCTTGCATTCTTTACTGCGGATATAAGGTCTTCGGTAACATGCTTCGTGCTAGCGTCTTGTCAACCAGATAAACCCTCTCGGACTCGCGCATGCAAAGGAATATAACACCAAATAGAGTGAGTGGTGTAGACTGAAGTGTTGATGTTATTAAAAGTCAATCGAAGATTCAAGTTTCGGTAATATAAAAGCTCCACTGTGGTCAGTTTGAAATTCACAATAAATCTGAAGCAAACCAGCTATCCCCATGCAATATATGATGATAATCGTTCAGCTCTAACATCACTTTGGTGCCTAACTACTAGTTTGCCCGAAGGAAGCAAGAGGGCTGAGTGCTGTCAGGTTGCCCAAGTCTAAGGCAAGGGGGTTGAGATACTGGAGTTGGGTTCGAACCGTGAATCTTCCACCCAGTAAGTTGGCACCGTATCCACTGGGATATCCTGAGCTGTCATTTGCAAGAGATGAGACCGATTCCAATTCCACATTATTGCAACCCAGGGGTGCAGTGCAGAAGTAATTGAATAATCGTTGACAGAATAGTTTGCGTGTAAACTCTTACATACGGAAAGCACCCAGCACTTTGCATTGTGAGCTTAGATCTCCAAATACAAAACGCGAAAAGCACAATCTTCTCCCAGTAATACTACAGGACAGCTGAGAAATTTCGTTAAGAGTGACTGGTGCTCCAGATAAGGGATATTACGAACGCTTTCAAAATGTTACTGTTCTTGGTTGGAGTCAAATCTTTCGAAGCAGTCTGTAAGTTCAAAGACTTCGGCCACATGCCCACAGGACTTAGGGACTTTGTTGATGACGAACATCATCACCACTGTAAATGGGTCAAAGTGAGCGCTTCCTTGTTAAATCAATGAGACCAGTGGTAAAACGGCACACAAACCACCTTCGGTCCCATCTGTTGGGATAGAATTAGCAGCTTGTGTATCAGGTGATTACGAAACGGCCACTATTGAATGCGTTGTAAAAACACTGTGCGTCCAAAATCGATGGCAGCTGTTTTTTTTTAGCTTTTGCTTCATTCTCACACACTCCGTAGGAGAAGATCAGCTTCATCCACTGTAAACTAAGCCGCCGAGTATTTGCCTATGTTCACGTTTATTTTTCACAACAAACCCTAAAAATGCTTCGTCCAAGTCTCGGTTAAAGCGTAATCTGTACTTACGATCTGAAGGCCGGCCTTTCAACACACCGTAAGGTTAGCTTGTTGGAGATGGTACTATGGCAGTATGATTTTTTGTTAAGGTGAGTGTCCTCATGTGTGAAACCATTAGATTTGCCAGGTTTAGGCTAGGACCCTACGGGACCAAACAATCGAGACGTCAAACAATCACTATTAACTATTGTCAAAGATCATGGAAAGTCCTTTCTGAACAAGATACCACCAAAACAGGAGAGATTCTGACCTCGCTGTACAAAACGTTTGCCACATCATTACATGACGCTCAGTAAATACGTAGGGTTCCACGGCCTATATCAGAAAACGATCTAGTCAATGACTTTAAATATTGACCTTTATTCCAACCACCCAACCAATAAATTAAGGACTGACGCCATTGAAGGCTATCCACAGAACAGTGCTGATGAACGGTACATATGATACTTAAAATAACCCACCGGAGGGTTGTGAAACGAAACGTTTTGACCTATGCCTGACATTTGTAATGTTTCAGACATTTGAGTTGCTTTATATTAAAAAAATGGAAGACTGGCTTTTCAATCCTGAGTCAGGCACTACCAAACAGCAGGTGAACATGTTTGTGGAAATGTTTCAAAATCTATATCCTTCCGCCCCAGATGCATGAAGTCCACCAATCTGTTACGAAGGACCAGTGGCTGTATTAATTAAAAAGAAATAGATTACAGTAGTTCAAATTAGGCAAGTGTGGAAGATCTGGGGTTACTTAAATGTAAAGAGACTACTCTCTAGAGGAATGGGCTTCAAAAGAACACAACATAGAGAAGGTCATTAGATAGATGTGTTAAAGTGATGACAATATGCTCACGGAGTTGGATGAAGAATGAAAGCCTATTATCAAGGTAGATTTGGTTACTTTTTGGCTCATTATTAAAGCTTATGAATATCCGATTGTGGAAAGGTTTAGGCTGAGCCCTTTAGTGTGACACCAGTATTGTAGATTGTGTCGTCCAAGACATAAAATTTATCCAGAACTTCATCTAGTCTGTCTGCAGAAAATTGAGGACAGTGTGCCGACCTGTAAAAAAAAGTCTCAAAAATTAGATAAGGATTTGTGTGTGCAAGAGTCACTCGAACGCTCTATACCATCACTAGAACATAAGCAGTTGGTGACTCAGATGAGAAGACAAATAAAAAATAATGGGTGTGTTTCGTGTCCCGAAAAACTTGATCGATCCGGAAACGATTGCAATAGGGAATACCAATTAACTGGCGTTAACCGCGATACCTAAACTGGTCACACGCAAGTTTATGTAGAAGCAGCCTCTTTCGGGACCAAATAAAGTCCCCTATTTACACAGAAATGATCATGGACGTATAGATTTTCTAGGTAGGGGAGACATTGCTGATAAAAGTGTGGTAGGTAAGCTATGGTGTGAACCAACTCGGTTACATCTACGACCTGCCACACGAGACTAACTCGCGGATGCATTTTGAACAGATTCTCCGAACAAATTGTGTTAGATTAGCTAATCTTGAAAGCCGAAATTTCCATTAAAAAACGTTTCAAGACGGAGAAACAGCACGTAAATGACTCCAAGGAACACCTTTGGATGAGAATTAAACGGCAACGCCATTTCAAAAGGCTCATGGTAGTTTTGGATGGACTCATCTGACTCTCATCTGA